ACAGGCAGGGATTTCACTGGCGCTAAACCCCGGTCATGTGCTTGAAGCAATGAAATACATCCTGGAAGCTCTAAATAATTTCTGAACGACTCTAAGTTCAGGCTAGAGAATTGAACTTTTTTGTTGTTGTTATTGTCTCATCTTAAGCCACGTCATACACATGGAAGTGTAGGATTTCACCCTGAAGTTTTGGTCATTTAACAAGAGATTTACTACAGCTCAACTACTTCAGAATCTCGCTTTCAGGAGAAACACCATCAGTCCTTCAAGTGAAACTTTTCCCACCACAACTGCCGAGTGCCCTTCGAGGGTTGGGGAAGAAAAACCCTTCTAAAGCAAGTAAACTGAACTTCAAGCCCTTTCTGTTTTCCTGACTACAACTCTACCCATAAAAAAAAGTAAAAACTCCTTCTTACAAATAAGTTGCAGCAAAACTCCCTACAGCTACTGAGGGGGGGAAGCCCTGCTCTGATGCCTGGAGTCCTTGTTTCCAGAAGGTTGCATGGTTTGGAGTTTGCATGAGGAATCACAAGCGCTCTTCACAATTACCCCAACTCACTCTGTGGCCTCTGAGGGCCCGAATCTTCTGCCAGTTTTTTGCGATGTCCAAACCCCCTACACAGTTCACGTGGTGTACTGGACACAGTTCTGAATGCATGAGGAAAGATTTTTGGCATAGAAACGTTTTAAAGAGCAATTGCCCCAAAACACGGGTGGGCTTGGGTTTGCAACTCCTCACACCTGCCCGTTTGGCCAGCCAGCGGCCAAGGTCGATGTCAGGGAGTTGAGTCCCTTTTCTTTTTGTCCCCTTCCACACAACAAAGGAAGAAACAACCAGACGAGCGATGCTGGGAGTCCGCAGGGCATGCTGCTAGGGGAGGGCGGACGGGGCAGCACCGGAGGCGGCATGCGAGCGGGCGGTCCCAGCAGCTACTCCGGCTCCATCACTTCCTCCTCGGGCTGCGGTGGCTGCGTGTGCACGGAGGAGCCGACGCCCGGGGCCCCCCAGCTGTCAGGACGGGGCCCAGCCTTCACAGAAGCGCCTCTTCCTCCCCTGCGTGGGGTGGCCCGGAGCCCTGCGGGCTGTCTCCGCTGCCGTCCTTCCTGCTCACCGAACAGAAAACCAGTTAGGACTGGAGGAAGAAGGGATGGACGGACGGCGCCCCAGCCCCCTCTGCACCACCTATCATCCCATCACCTGTAACATGACTAACGGCTTTAAATTCTCTCCTTTTTCTTCCTTAAAGAAATTTTCCAAAGGGGACTTTGTATCACCTCTAAGTGGAAAGCCAGTATCATTTGCCAAAAATGGCAAGAACTGTAAAAGGAGATGCAAATCCATGTGTGTGACACCTACGACCATCGCCCGGCTCCCAGCAGCATTGGCTGCTCTGAGGCCTGTTCTCTGGGCCTTGGTGTGAAGGCTTTTCCTCCCCTTCAGGCTGTGAATTCCTACAGGGCGGGAATCACGACACTGGTCTTCTGTTGTGGATGTCGAGCTCCTTGGGGACAGGGAGCAGGACCACCTCATCTTGGCACAGCACCAAGACAGGCTTTAGGAAATGCCAGTGGACAGAACTGCCCCCCAGCCCCTGACCCTGAGGTCCACTGGGAGACCACTCCGGACGGAGGAGAAGGGCCCCCTGGTGATGTGAGCACATCCAAGCAGAGGAGACCAAGGACGTGCAGGACAAGGGGCCCTGTGTCCCCAAACAGCCATCAGTAAGACTTACAGGAGATGCTCCAGAAAGCTCTGTGAAAGGGGCCTCAAGGAGACCCGGGAATCGGAGAAGGAAATGGACTGCCTCCATGAACTATTACCTCCCCTTTGGCATGAGACCAGAAGGAATGGGTGGTACCCCACGACCATTACTGAACGTTCTGATCAAGGACCCCACAGATGGATCCTGATCAAAAAGAGGAAAAGCGTGAAACAAAACTTCAAATTCATATGGAAACCAGACTTACTGGATCCACTGAGACTGGGGGAACCCCCGAATCTACTGCCCGGAAACAATCTTTAAACTCTGAGCCAAAACTATTCCATGACGCCATCATTAAACTAAATAACACTTTAGCTCAATTAATAAGGAATGTTTGCCTTGAGCAGTGTGCTCTTATAGAGAATTATCTACATGAGTTCAAACTGTCAACAGTTAATCTAAAGCACAGATGAGGACGTGAAGGGGCAGACAGTCTAAATTAACGGTGATGAAACCATGTGGGTAGAGACTGAGAATGGACACGATGTGAAGTAGGTAACCAATGTCATCGAACTATACGTGTAGAAGTTGTGAATGGATGTATGTTTGCTTGTGCATACTGCCACCAAAAGTAAATAAATAAGAGTGTTTTTTCCAAAGTAAAAAAAGAATGTGTCTTCCAAAAAAAAAAAGGTGGGGGGAGGAGCCTTAATCCCTTGCCGCCCTATGCAAAGATGTCTCCTTCTGCAGGAAGCCACACAGGGACTCATGTTCACTGTTCCCAAACAAGGACCTGTGCGTTATGACTAAACCCACAAAGTTTTCCAGAAGGCAAACGTCACACCTGTACAAGGGTGGAGAAAACGGGGCATCTGTTCATCCCTAGGAACCAACCCCGCTTTGTTTAAAATGCACGCTCACTGGCTTTTGTGTTTCTGTGAAAGAAGAGGGGTGCAGTCTCTTGGGGAGGAATGAGCCACAAGGGGCTGTGCAGCTAGCCCTCGGCTGTGCCCTGGCAGCTGCTGCTCGCACTGGTTCCACTGCAGACAGTGGGCGGCTTCTGTGAACGCCCCAGCCACTACATCCCCTCTGGAAGCTCTGGAGTGCTGGAGCCTCAGATGACCAGACACACAGGTTCAGGGAAGGGCAGGTGACCTCAGGTGCTGGTGGGACTGCACGTGAGGGGACAAAGGGGCGAGAAAGCCCTGTTGGCCAATCTCAGTCCACCCGTGTCTTGCGATTTTGACCTTGCTGCAATTTTTAAAAGAAACTACAGACTTGCATACAGACTGGAGGCAGCCCCAGTTCTGGCAGACCTTACACCAGTGGTGGTCCAGCAGTAGAATTCTCACCCTCCATGCAGAGACCCGGGTTCGATTCCCAGCCAATACACCTCATGCATAGCTATCACCCGTCTGTCACTGGACGCTTGTGTGTTGCTATGATGCTGAACAGGCTTCAGTGGAGCTACTAGACCAAGATGGACTAGAAAG